ATGGGTGGGCTTCCTCAGTTCCCTGGTATACCTGGGTGCTGGTGAACACTCACTTTTTAAAATTTTTTTCTGTAATAGGGATTGAATCAAGGGATACTCTACTACTGAGCTACATCCCCAGGTCTTTTTATTTTTTTATTTTGAGTCAGGTTCTCACTGGTAGCCCAGGGTAGAGTGCAAAGTGTGATCCTCCCACCTCAGCCTCCTAAATCCCTGGGATTTGAGCCATGCACAACTGAGCCCACCTGAATACTCTGTTTTTTCAAACCACAGATTGAACCTCGTGGTGCTGAACCACTGAGCCACATCCCCAGCTCTGTTTTATTTTTTGGAGACAAGTTCCCTCTAAATTGTTTAGGAACTTGCTGAGTTCTAAGGCTTGTTTTGAACTTGTGATTCTCCTACATGAGCCTCCCAAGTCACTGGGATTGGACCTGTGTGCTAACATACCCAGCCTTAATATGCCCATTTCTGAGAATATATTTTATTTTACTTTTATCTCTCACACTTTATATTGTATTTTTTCATTTAAACATCTAACCAGATGTAGGATTTTGTTTTTTTTAAAACATGTTTAAGCATTTTCCACTAATTTACTACACCAGTTGTCTTTTGATGAGGCAAAAATGTGAGAAGCTTGTTACAGACTTTCAGATCACACTAGGTCCTCTGTGATGTGTAAATGCAATAATTCACAGATAAGTCCTTCCCTGTTCCCTCTGTAGTCAGTAAACAGAGCCCTACTCTGGGTGCTCAGGTTGCTGTATTATATATTATTATGTATGTATTATGCATATATGTTTTGTATTGCGTATTATTTTTTCTATTTTGGAGGGGTTCCATTGTAAATGAACTTTTCTCTTAATTGCATTTCAGTATTTCCTTTCATATATATAGAAGTTGATTTTTTTATTACTAATTGATTTTTATTGAGTTTTGTGTCTTTTTCACTGCTGACCTTGGGCACACATTTTCCTATTGGGTACTTCCAGGTTTTGAACACCACTTGTCCTGCTGCTGTAAACTTTGAAGTTCAGGATTTCATGTGTACCTTCATTGTGGACTCATTTGGGTTTCAACTTTGGGAAATGGCTTGGGGACCAGGAGCCACTGCTGTGACATATGAAGTGGAGATGGTCACTTCAGCATTTGAAAGTTGAGTGGTCTTGGCCCTGTGAGGAGGTTTGTGTGAGGCCTGTGTGTATTTGTGTGTGTCTTAGAGCCTCACAACTTCTTAAGTATTGATTTCCCCCTATGTAGCAGGCTTTTGGTAGGTGTTGCGGCGAAGATGCCCCATCAAATGCCCCTGTCCGTTTGCAGTAGACTCTAGTGAGCAGGAATCCAGAAATACAAGTCAAATTCTCACTGTCAAGTGGATTCTATTGATGGGGAGAGAGGTGGTGACAGTTGCAGAGGCTGCACTGTCTTCTCCCATCTTGTTGCCTGTGGTTGCTGCCTCTGCAGGTGAGTAAATCTGAGTCTGTGTTGCCTGCATCCACCTGTATCTTCTTGGTAGAGTCCTTGATTTTGCCTCAATGTTTGGGGCTATGTGAGCTAGCTCTGAGGTCTGGAATACTGTGATTTTCTTCCTGGTTTCCCTGGTAGCACCCCTCTTGCTCTTGTCTATAATTGACTTGTTTTTGTTATCATGGAGACAGCCTTTCATCCTTAGCATAGCCTCAGGGTTTGTAGATCCCCCTGGCTTTTCAGAGTGTTACATTCTTTTCCAGGTGCTTGTTTATGTTGTGAAGGTGGCTTGAGCTTTGTCATCTGCTTTTTCTTCATTCTTTCAGGTATCAATACCTCCAGATGCGTGATGCAGTTCCTTGGAGTGCCATTTCATTCTGATGATGGTGTCCAATGAAGGACAACATTTTTACTTTAAAGTGTTGATTCACTTTTAAGTTGCACGTGTGGATGAGGTGCAGAGAGGTAGTTGCACACCTGTTCCAGTGTGCCATGATCAGATCAGGGCATTAGCTCTTCCATTTCCTAATATTTTTTATTTTTCTGTGTCTCTGGACTGCTCCCTCAGCTGTATTATGAAATACAGATTGACGTGCTGTGTCCTGTGGTCACCTATGTTCTGGAGGGCAATACTGCTGGCCCCTCTGGAGTATATTCTGGTACCTGATACTCAGCTTCTTTCTCCAGTCCCTCCCTGTCCTGTCTCACCTCTCTTTTTTGCCTCTGGTGACTACTCCCTCGTACTTTCTGTGAAATCAACTTGCTACTTCCCCGTGTGAGTGATAAAACACAGTGTGTCCCTCTCTGCCTGCCTTATTTCACTTAGTATGGTATTCATAGTTCCAGTCTCATTTCTCTAAATGACAGGACTGAAAACTATTTTTGGTGAAATCAAATTTTATCTATTATTCTCATGATTGATGTTAATGGTATTATATCCCAGATACGATTCCCATATCCAGTATTGTGAGACGTGTGCTCTACGTTTTCTTATAGGAAGTGTGAGGTTCACATTTTACTTCAGGACTTTGGTCCATGTGGATTTCTTGTATGCATGTGTTGTGAGGGGAGAGTCGGACTTTAGGTGTTAACATGAACATGCAGTTTCCCTGCCCATTTGTTACCCAGAGGTCCTGGACCCCTAGCCTGACCCTGAGGAATATCATTTTCTTCTATGTGTCAACACTGGCCTGGGTCCCTTAATATCCTCCATTGCTGTGTGTGTCTGCCTTTAATAGTATAGTTTGAGTGGGTTTTGAAATCAGGAAATGTGATGCTTGTCACTTTATTTTTCTTCTTCCATTTTTGAGTTTCTTGCAATTTCATGTGAACATTAGAATGATACTTCTTATTTTATATAAAAATTGCACTGGTGCTTAGCACAGTGGCACATACCTGCAGTCCCAAAGGCTTGAGAGGCTGAGGCAGAAGGATCACAAATTCAAAGCTAAAAGTCTCCAAAAGTGAGTTGCTAATTTGAAAGTGATTGAACTGACTTTATGGTTAATATTTGGGTAGATGTACAATTCCTTGTGCTCACAAACACCAAATATTTTTACTTGTATAATTTTTTTTTCAGAAGTATTTTGTACTTTTTATAGTAAGATATTGCAGATAATTTCTAAAACATTTTTATGCAGCTTTCTCCTTCTGTTCCTGTTCCTGGCTCTTTTTCATTTTAGTCGTGCATTTATTCATCTCATTACATGCCCTGGCATGTAATTGCAGGTTTATCCCACACTTATTTTTGTCTTTTAATTCCCCCGCCCTTTTTTTCCATACTGGGGATTGAACTCCGGTGCACTTGAGCACTGAGCCACATCCCCAGCCCTATTTTTTTTTTTTAAACTGAGGATTGAACCCCGTGGTGCTCAACCACTGAACCACATCCCAAGCCCTATTTTGTATTTTATTTTAGACAGGGTGATACTGAGTTGCTTAGCACCTCACTTTTGTTGAGGCTAGCATTGAACTCAAAATCCTCCTGCCTCAGCCTCCCAAGCCCCTGGGATTACAGGTGTGCACCACTGCGCCCAGCTCCCAGCCTATTTTTAACTTATCTTTTAAATTGCATGTGAATGTGTTCACTTCTCCATAATACCTTCTATGTCATTATTCAATTTTCCATGTGAATTTCAAGCTACTGAAAATTTTCTCTTCTCTTGGTCTATGTCTTTGTTCTTCTCCATGCTAATACTATGCTGAGTCCAATAGTATAATTTAAATTTTCTTCATTTATAGTCAGGTGTCACTTATACATTCTGGAAATGTGTTTTTAGGCTGGCTCACCATTGCACAAACACCATAGTGTATTCACAGTCCTAGAAGTAATGACCTGTTAAATACCATGGCTCTATGGTGTCAGTGCTCCCTAGGCTACAACCCTGCACAGCATTTACTTGACAAGGTACCAAAGTTTAGCATGCATTAGATTTGTTTGTACCACTATCACTACAAACACATTAGTAATCATTTTACTGCAGTTAACCATGTATATGTAAGCCATAATTAACCAAAAATGTCTTTGACCAAAACATTGTTATGAGGCACATGAGTGTGTATCATATTAACCAACAGTCTGCTATCTAGAACATATTGATAGATGTTACACGTTTCTTAATTCTTATTATACCTGGACAAGTATGTTGATTAATGGGAATTTTGTTTGATAAATGTCAGAAAAGGTATTTGACACTCATTGTATTTTGATATTAATTGGAAGATATTATCAAGTGGTTTATTACTAATTGTTTTTGTTTATTATTTGGTTAAATTTTATTTGGAGTGAAGCACCTGCATATTCAACTTGTTCTCTTAGTGTAATCACAAAGGATGAGCTCAATCCATGGTTACCATGTTGTGACCACATCAATGCAATATCTACTCTTAGAGTCTTCTCTTAAAGCGTTCTTTTTCTTTTTCTTTTCTTTTTTGAGGTGTGGGGGTACTTTGATTCTTTAGGCTCTAACATAAGAGTGGGACAAAATAACAGGATTTCAAATGTAAAACGAATGTTTAGTAAATACCATGCTGTTTACATACTCTCAATCACTATGACTCAGTGTAAATGGTTAGTTTGGTGAAATCATCTTAAATCTTTAGCTCCACCTACCAGCTAAAGTACAACTTTTTTAGCAGGGATTTCCAAGTATAGGTCTGGTCAGGAGGTCTAATATTAGTGCTCTTCTGCACATTACATGAGAACCCTACAAAGACATTAGAGGTGACACAGGGCCATATCTTGCTCTCTGGACTTTACAATGAAATGGGTGTTTTGCTCTGCTGATGATTTTCTGGATAGTTCAAGTCTTATTTTGGAAGTACTCTTTTTGAAGCAGTGAAGACAGAGAGTACAAGTTTTAATGACCAAATCATGGAATAAATATTTGGAGACCACAGAAACATATTCTCACATGTTGAGAATACAGCCCTCATGTTGTCAGTCTCTCTTGGTCTGCACTACATTTTTCTGGCATATTTTAGAATTCAGTGACCTTTGAGGATGTGGCTGTGAACTTCACTCAGGAGGAGTGGGCTTTGCTGGATCCTTCCCAGAAGAATCTCTACAGAGATGTGATGCAGGAAGTCCTTAGAAACCTGGCTTCTATAGGTAAGCATGATGTTTCATTACTAATTGAAAGACAGAGCACCTGGGAGTTTTTTGCCCTCCTGTATTTGGAATATAGAAAGGGAGTACTTGGAGAATAAATTGGGCCTAACATCAATTCACTGTGCAGCTTAAATGCCAAAATTCTTTTTTTCCCCTTTTTTCATCTCTTTTTATTAGTGCACTAGTGTCCAAATTTTTAATCCCATTCATTCTAAAGTCATTTATAATGATTGTTTTGGGTCTACATTTTAGGAGACAAATGGGAGGACCACAATGTTGAAGATCAGAACACATATCCTGGGATAAATCTAAGGTAATTTGTACTCACAAGAGGAAACAGAGTGCCTTGAGGGAAATCTAGCATGTCCTATAATTTTACAAACAAGAAAATAAACATGATATGAATTATGTTTATTTTTTCACCAAATATGAATTGTAATGTAAGATACATGTTTATTGTTTTTAAAATAATGGATTTGTTGATAGTACTAACAAACTGCATTCATGATACCACTGTTTAAGTAGTAGCTATGGATTGTAAAGTAATCATGATATTGACTTTCATATGGTTTAGACATGCCAGAAAACCAGTATTTTCACTGATCTTAATAATTGTGTAAGTCCAGTGCCTATTAATAAATGCAAAATTACAGAGCCAACCATAAATTGTGCTTGTAATTTTTTAACAGAAGTCATGTAGTAGGCTCTGGAAAAAATTTAAATGGTATTCAGTGTGGAAAAACTTTCAGTGAGATTCCAAATCTAGTCTTAAAAGGACATTCCTGGTAGAAAGTCCATGTGAAAGCAGTACATGTGGACAGGTCTTCATATATCATTTTTTTTTTCTTAATAGGCCCATCGTATCTCACTCTGCAAACAAACCATATGAAAATGAAGAGTATGTAGGGAAGCTGCATGAATGTAAATGGATCAGAAAATCTTTCATTTCTCTCACAAAAGCTCAAAGACATACTGGAGAGATGGCTCATACATGGAAACGACATAGTAAAGCCTTCATTAACCTTAAAGTACACAAACAAACTCGTACAGGAAAGAAGCCCTATCAATGTAAACAATGTGGAAAAACTTTTACTACTTACTCTTGCCTTCATATACATGAACGGACTCATACTGGAAAGAAGCCCTATGAATGTAAACAATGTGGGAAAGCCTTCACTCAGTCCAGTCATCTTCACTCACATGAACAAACCCATATTGGAAAGAAGCCCTGTGAGTGTAAACAATGTGGAAAAGCCTTTTGTAGTTCCTCTTACCTTCAAATACATAAACGAACTCATACTGGAGAGAGGCCCTATGAATGTAAAATATGCGGAAAAGCCTTTGCTTCAGCCAGTCACCTTCACTCACATGAAGGAACTCATACCAGAAAGAAGCCCTATGAATGTAAACAATGTGGGAAACCCTACACTAGGTCCTCTTACCTTCATAAGCATGAACGAACTCATACTGGAGAGAAGCCCTATGAATGTAAACAATGTGGGAAAGTCTTTCCCTGGTCCTCTTACCTTCAAATACATGAACGAACTCATACTGGAGAGAAGCCCTATGAATGTAAACAATGTGGAAAAGCCTTCACTACGTCGTCTAACCTTCAAATTCATAATCGAATTCACACTGGAGAGAAGCCTTATGAATGTAAGCAGTGTGGCAAAGCCTTCACTCAGTCCAATCAACTTCACTCACATGAACAAACCCATACTGGAAAGAAGCCCTATGAGTGTAAACAATGTGGGAAAGCCTTCAGTTGTTCCTCTTACCTTCAAATACATAAACGTACTCATACTGGAGAGAGGCCCTATGAATGTAAAATATGTGGAAAAGCCTTTGCTTCATCCAGTCACCTTCACTCACATGAACGAAGTCATACAGGAAAGAAGCCCTATGAGTGTAAACAATGTGGGAAAGCCTACACTAGGTCCTCTTACCTTCATATACATGAACGAATTCATACTGGAGAGAAGCCCTATGCATGTAAACAATGTGGAAAATCCTTCACTACGTCGTCTAACCTTCAAATACATAATCGAATTCACACTGGAGAGAAGCCCTATGAATGTAAGCAGTGTGGCAAAGCATTCGCTCAGTCCATTCAACTTCACTCACATGAACATACTCATACTGGAAAGAAGCCCTATGAGTGTAAACAATGTGGAAAAGCCTTTTTTAGTTCCTCTTACCTTCAAATACATAAACGAACTCATACTGGAGAGAAGCCCTATCAATGTAAGCAGTGTGGAAAAGCCTTCATTGCTTCCCTTTACCTTCAGGTACATGAACGAACTCATACTGGAGAGAAGCCCTATGAGTGTGAACAATGTGGAAAAGCCTTTGCTTCCTCCAGTGACCTTCACTCACATGAACGAACTCATACAGGAAAAAAACCCTACGAATGTAAACAATGCGGGAAAGCCTTCACTAGGTCCTCTTACCTTCAAATACATCAACGAACTCATACCGGAGAGAAGCCTTATGAATGTAAACAATGTGGAAAAGCCTTTACTACAACATCTAACCTTCAAATGCATAATCGAATTCACACTGGAGAGAAGCCCTATGAATGTAAGCAGTGTGGCAAAGCATTTGCTCAGTCCATTCAACTTCACATACATGCACATACTCATACTGGAAAGAAGCCTTATGAATGTAAACAATGTGGAAAAGCCTTTTGTAGTTCCTCTTACCTTCATAGACATAAACGAACTCATACAGGAGAGAAGCCCTATGAATGTAAACAATGTGGGAAAGCCTTCACTAGGTTCTCTTCCCTTCAAACACATAAAGGAACTCATGCTAGAGAGAAGCCCAATGAACATAAGCAATGTGGTTAACCTTCACTTAGTCCAGTCTCCTTTACTTACATGAATAAACTCATACTGGGAATAAGCCCTTTCACTACTTCATCTTACTTTCAAAAACATAAATGAACTTATACTAGAGACAAGCCCTATGATTGTAAGCCGTGTGGGAAAGCCTTTGCTAATTCATCTAGCCTTCAAATACATGACTGAACTCATAATGGACATAAGTTTTGTTGTGCTTTGGATTTAAGGTTTTCACTAAAAGGTTAAATGTGAAACAATGCAAGAAGTTTCAGAGGAGAAATGATTTTCTCATGAGAGTCTTAAACCAATCAGTCCATTAATCCCCTGACAGGGATTCACTGAGTGGTAGGGAGTGGCTGGAGGAGGTGGGAATTGGCAAGGCTTTGGAGTATATATTTGTATCTGGCCAGTGAAGACCTCTCACTCTGCTTCCTGATCATCATGTGAGCTGCTTTCCTTTGTCACACTCTTCCATCATGATGTTCTTCTGCCTTACCTCAAGCCTTTGAGGAATGGAGACTGCTGTCTGAATTGACCCCTTAAATAAACTTTTCCTGCCCTACAATTGTACTGGTTGATTCTTTTAATCATAGCGTGAAAAAGATGACTAAAACAAATTTGTACCAAGAGTGAGGTCATTGTTGTTAGAAACCTGATGATATATTTCATAAGCATTTGCAGCATTTTGGAATAGGATGGAGGAATTTTGAGATCTTTAGCAGTTCAAGCTGGAAATTGTATAGGTTGTTGTAAGGGGAGCTTAATGGCCAGTAATGGTGGGAGCTCAATAAGACTGTGGACAGTGAAGACAGGGCTCAAGTGTGTTTAGAGGAAAAGGATGACACTACTGGTGATTGGACTAGAGGTCATTCCTGTTATGCTCTGGCTAAGAAGTTGTCTGCATTTTACCCATGTCATGAGTCTTTCGGTGAGGCTCCTTTTAAAAGTGATGGACTTCTTAATCTGGCATAAGAAATTTCTATGTAGCATAGCTGTCTGGTTGTGGCATGGATATTGCTGGCAGCTTTTAGCCAAATTTATTGTAGTAAGGAGCAGAAAGCAGAACAGAAAGATTTGGAAAATGTGGACTTGAACAAAACAGGGACTAAGAAAGTTGCAGTTGTTAAAGACATTACTGCCACTAAAGAAATGCTAAAGAGTGCCCATAGACAACAAGAAAGATGGCCTGAGGGCGTCTCAGGAGCTGGCAAGACCACACCCTTCTCATGAAGCTCTAGGGAATAATAATGAAAATTCTCTTGAGACCAGTGGGGCACCCTTCTTACACAAAGGGCCATAGGAAGTTTCTTCCCCATGCTCAGCCACCCAGACACTCACAGGCTGCTGCAGCCAGGGTCTCTGGAGGTTTGGCTACTGCTCAAGATGGTAACAGACTTTGGCATCAACTATGTAGTGCTCTCTTGACACAAATGCAGGATGCTTCAGTTAGGGATTCAGGGAGGCTTCATGAAGATTTCAAATATCTGGTAGGCCAGGCAAAGTGCATCAGGGTCAGAGTCCCTGTGGGCCTCCCCTGAGAATTCAAAATGTGGAAATGTGAGGAGGAAGCTAAAGGTGAAGTGAAGAACCCAGAGATTAAAAAATGCCAGTAACAAGGGACATAGTCATAGGAAAGCAGCAGGCATTGAGCAGAGACAAGCCAACACAAAGGCCACTTGGGCTGCATCCACTAAGGCCATAGGGCTAGAGCTACACAAGCTTTTGAAGAGAACATCACAATGCCTCGTGCCTCAAATGCCAGATGTGGAGCTACAGGACCTGTTTGCCCAGCTGGATTTTGGTGTCAGTTTGATCCTATCCCTTCATTCTATGCTCCAATTTCTGTAAATTAAAATGTTTATTGTGTACCGAAATTTTCTAAAAGTAAAGCTCAGGGGTTTTTTGTTGTTTTGTTTACAGTTGTTACTGTCTTCAGTTGAATATTTCACAGTGATCGTCCATTCTGGTGTTTGTTTGCATTTTTGTTTTTCACTTTTGAGATAGGGTGTGGCTAAGTTTCCCAGGCTGCATTAGCATATTGCTAAGTGTCTAAGGCTGGCTTTCAACCTGTGATTCTCAGGCCTTAGCCTCCCAAGGTGCTGGAATTACAGGCGTGTGCCACCACACCTGGCTTCAATTCTGTTTTAATCAGATATTTTAAACCTGTTTCAACATCTTTGGCAGGCTTCCCCAGGATCAAAGTTTTAAATTAAATTTCTTCAAACTAAAGGTAAATTTTGGACATTTCAAAGAACCCCAGAACTTTTCAGATGTTTATATTACAAAAAGGAGATATTAAGCTCCTCAGGCTAATTTGCTAAGTTGCAATGTATGGCAACATTGTCAAATGACACAGTAATTCTAAATTCTATCAACGTTATATTGGTATGAATGTCAATGTGATTATGTTAGAGAGTGAATGGAATTTATAGCTGTCCTGATATGATGCCGTCGATCACAATTTGGGTCATCTTAAAATGCTATCTGAAATAACTGAATTTTTCAATTAGTAAAATTTCATGTGATTTTAACCATTTATTTTCTAAGTCATTGTTATCAGTAAACAATGACTATTTTGATTTTTCTCTGAAGATATGCAGTTGGATTACTGGAAATAAATGACTGACAAGTACCCTTCAATACAGTTTTCTGATTATTTTAAGACCTTGGAGTGGTTAGACCTTCCATCTGGGACCCTCGTTAGTGCTTATGAGGAAATTGCTGGAGGTGGTTTTCATTCTAATTGTTAAATAATAAAATTTTATTTCTGAGTTCCTCTGTGACCTACTGTTTGTTCAATGTCTTTTTTTTTTTTTTTTTTTTGTGGTTTGGATCTGGAATGAAAGTGTGGTCTCAGTGCAGCAGGGCTGGGGTTGGGGGTCTTTCACAATTGCCTGGGTCATGAGGGCTCTAACTTCATCAGTGGTTTAATCCCCTGATGGCTGAACAGGCCACAGGAAGTGGGATCTAGTTGAGGGAGTAGGCCACTTCCTGTCTGTCTCTGCTTTCCTACTGACTGGAGCTCAGCAGTGTGCCTTCACTGTGTCCTTCTGCCATTCTCTTTTTGCTTGGAGCTAGCCAGCTATGGACGGAACTTGATTTGATTGTGGTCAGAAAAGATATAAATATGATTTCAAGGTGTTTGTTAAGACTTGTCGGCTTATTACATATTCTAGAGAAAGTTTCATGCAGTGATGAAAAGAAGTTGAATTTTACAGCTGTTGGGTATAATATTTTTGTAAAAGATGGTTTGTAATATACTTTGATATTTCTTTGTTCCTGTTTTTTGTCTAAGCAATTTGTTTATTAATTAAAAAGTGGGCTGTTAAGTTCCCCGCTAGGACCATACTGGATCTTGTAATTCTGGTAGTTGTTGTTTGATAGAATGGTGTGCACATAGAAAGCCAGGAGCGCAGTGTCTTTCTGCTGAAGAGTTCCCTCCCTCTGCATACTGACCTTCCATATCTCTTTACACTTCTGGTCTCTAAGCCTGTCCAATTGGATGGAAGAGAAGCTGTTCCTGCTGCTCTGCTTTCTGTGGTGTGGGTACCTCTCTCCACTTTGGCACTGTCTCTGTAGCAGTTGAAGTGAATTTCTCGTAGGCAGCATGTTGTATCGTGGTTTGTATCCATTCTACCAGTCTTTTTTAAAAAAAAAAAAAAAATTTAAAATTATAGATAGACCAGGTCCCTTTATTTTACACTCATTTTCATGTAGTGCTGAGGATTGAACCCAGTGCCTCACACATGCCTGGCAAGCGCTCCACCACGGAGCCACAGCCCCAGCCCTTCAACTAGTCTGTCTTTTAATTAACAGATTTAGCCCTTTTACTTTCACAATTATTCTTGACAGTTAAGAAGTCTTTCCTTTCATTTTATTGTTTTTTAAAATTTTTCTCTGAATATCTACCTTTCTAGTGGGATGTATATTTTCCCATGCTTTTTTAATATTGTTACTGGGGTTTCAATTCAGGGTACTCGACCACTGAGCCACAACCCCAACCCTATTTTTATTTTATTTATAGAGACAGGGTCTTACTGAGTTGCTTAGTGCCTCACTAAATTGAACTCCCAGTCCTGCTCCCTCAGCCTCCTAAGCTGCTGGATTACAGGTGTGCTCCACAACACCCAGTGGGTCCGCATGCTTTCTTGATAATAGTCACTTTTCTTGTACTTCTGTAGGTATGCCTCCCTTAAGTGTCTTTTATAAGACTGGTGTTGTCAAAATTTTCTCAATTGATACTGGTCATGAAAATCTTTGGTTTTTTTTTTTCATTTCTCAAAGAAACAAACTATGTTTTTGCTGGGTGTAGTAATCTGTATTACTAGTTATTTTCTTCCTAGTCTTTGAATACTACATTCCATTCTCTCTTGGCCTAATAGATTTCTACTGTGAAATCTATTAGTTTCATGGGGATACAGTTAAATGTGACATGCCACTTTTCACTTACAGATTTCAAAATTCTTTCTTTGGCTGGGCACAGTGGCACAGGCCTGTTATCCCAGGATTGGGAGGCTGAGGCAGAAGAATCACAATTTTAAAGCCAGCCTCAGCAACCTAGTGAGGCCCTAGGCAACTCAGAGAGACCCTTTCTCTAATTTAAAAATTAAAAAAAAAAATAGGGATGTGTCTCAGTTACTTAGCACTCCTGGGTTCAATCTCTAGTGGGGAGGGGAAAGTACCCATTTATTGGTCCCACCACTAAATTTTTCTTCGTTTTTTTTTTTCTTTTTTCTTTTGTGGTGTTCAGGATGAAACCTAGGGCCTCGTGATCATTTGATGCATGTTTTACCACAGAACTACAGCTTAACTAATTTTGTCTAAAAATTATATTTAATACTCATATATTATCGGTTTTGGAAGTAGTATTTATGACAGTTTTAATGTCACCTAATAGAATAGTAGGTACACCAGTTTATCCTTTTCACTGAATCATTGTTACATATTTAAAACTATTATGTATGAAATCTATATGTGCAAATGCTTAGGAAAATATATGTTATGTACTATGTATAGTTCGTAGTACTCTGATTCATTAAAATGTCAACCATTGTTAATATTTTTACTTCAAAATGCTCTTTTCCATTTTTAAAGTTTCATTTCTGCCGCAGTCTAGCTGGGCACAAAATCATGAGCCACTCACAGCCTTGTAGATTCAAACAGCAATTCTTTATTCCCGAACTCTCACCAGCACTCTACATGCACGGCACTCTACACGCACGTTCTGGGGAAAATCCACCTCCACTATGCTCTGCATCCCCAAATACTCTCTGAATCCCTAGAGAACTCAAAGGGAACTCCAGGAGCCAGCGGGCGCCTGAGGC